TCTCAATACCTAAAAACTTTGCGGTTGTTGATGTTGGTGTCCAGTCTCTTCCTTCTGTTCACTCATGTAGGATATACAGTGTAACTCTACATGTTATATTATGTCAACAATCTTGCTATTTTAGTTATTATTTTTATCTCTAAAGTAATCTGTAACTCTCTTAAAAAGTGAGCTCAGCCCGACGTCACTCTTAGGCAGACAAAAACCGATAGAATTTATAACGTGCTATTCTTTCACAAACTTGTCCTACTCGTGCACGTTTAGTCTAAGAAAATCAACATACTGTATAGGGTCTGCTACACAGAAAAGGCTAAACTGTTGTGTTTCCTTACACCAATTTCTAAATTTTGTGAAGGTTTTCTTTGTAAAATTATTTTCTTTTGAAATGTTACCAACAGAAACAGTCACAAAGAGTAACCTCCCAACAGAGTAAAACCACACACACACACACAAAACTACTAAAGATAAGTAAATTTCCAAAAATTACCGGAAAGGAGTGGGAAAGTATTTAATGTGGCCTTTATAGAAAAGTTTGCGAAGCAGAATTTACGTTGCTGCCTGAAGATAGTACCCTCATTTTTTACTTATACAACGACCAAGAATGAAGTGTATAACGCACGTGTTATGTGATAGATGATACTATTATGTTTTCTGTATAGTGGCTATACTTTTCCGTCTCAGTTTTATATAATTGATATTCCAATCAGTTTGCTTAATATTCTCTACGGGTAAGTATTTTTCTCTAGTTTCTATAGATTAGTGGTCTTTGTTGTTCAGTAAACATGTTCATTGTATTATGTTTGTTGGTCTTTTATATATAGTTTTGTATACAATGGAAAACACTTATTTCTATCAATCTATACGAAGCAGTTAGAAATTTAATATTCAACTGACCATGTCTTTCAAACCTAGTCTGAGCTAAACATTTTGCATATAAAATTAATCTATTTTGTTCATTATAATTTTTGATCTTCCTCGAACGTATTATCTCATTTAATAAATCATAAACATAGTTTTATGCCTAAACACAATCCTCGGAAAAACGGGGGAAAATTGTGTTTTTAGTTGTTTTGTTTTTAATATATTGTTCAGAAATATAATATTTAATAAAATGAGCATTTTCAAACGTCTTATTAGAAGAAATAATGTTGTTAATGTCTATGGTTCCCGACTGATGATTCTATGTATTCTAATCATTATAGGTGTTGTTTTCTTGTATATTGACTTATGACATTAAGTTCTTCCAGTTGCTGATTTATATAGAATTAGCTTCACAGAATGAGGATCTACTTTGTAGTTTTGGTATTTATAGTACACTTTTTTATATTTGAAACTATTAGTAATTGTTAAAATATTGTAAAATAAGCACCTATTTGTCTGTTGCATTTTGTATACAACTATCATTGGGGATCATTTTTAGTATTCAAAACTCTAATAACTATAATGTTATTTTACAAAATATATATTATATTTGGTCAAAAATCGGACACTTTTTCGGTGATATCTCTATCAAATTCCGTTGTTGCTGTACACTAAAATATTAAATAAAATCTTTAGAAGAGTACAATAATACAAGACACACTAAATTACCCTGTCAATAAAAAATATTTTCCACCTTGGTTTATATTGTATATAGCCTATCACACGATGGCTTGGCTTATTCAAAGGGTAAAAACTCTGCATGGCATATCTCTGATCGTGAGAACTATTCAACATTCGAGGTATACGGTGGTTTGAAAGAAAAATTGTGCTCTTTAGTTAGGACTTGTTTTATCAAAATACTCTTGGATTTTAACCATTATATCAAGTTCACATTGCAAATCTTTAAGCATAGTCCAGTTCTCTTTTCAGAGCGTTTCCAAGGAGCTATTAAATATTTTCTTTAATGACAAATATAATTGTGAGGCAAACTAGGTGTTTATTTTCCTTTGGGTCTTAAAATGTGAACATGAATTTTTCACATAACATTTTTCAAGTTTTTCCATACATTTGCTTGTTGATCTAACTATGAATAGCTGGATATAAAATGTGACTTAACTGCTATCATCCTAGTTACACCTTTGCCAATGAACATTCCCCCTTTGATTTCTTTAAATGTTACCACGGACAACATTGTCTTAGAGCTGAGCTATAGTCATTAATTGAAAAGGAGAAAAAAACTATAATATGAAGAACATCTATAAGAATCAAGTTCTGGAGTTTAATAACTTGTTTTTATTTATTTTACAATGTAGGTTGTGTTTAACTCAGATAAGGCTATAAAATAAGCTTTTTCAGATGTTTTAATATGGTTTAAAGTCCGAGAAACTTGGAAAGTCGGAGCAATAGACACACTCAAACAGCATCTCACATTCAAAATATATGCATAAAATAATATCTCTCAAGTCCCTGTCTTCTGTCGTCGAGAAAGTCTTTATCACACGAATCATATGATTCTTGAAACATATCATTTTTCGTGTTTTCCTTATAGTTTACTGACTGGCTCATGTTTTCATTCACATTCACGAACATACTGCTCTTATCGTGCACTGAACTCTGAGATGAAATTAAAATATCCACGATAATTAGTACAGCCCCAAGAATACTTACAACTCGAATGGAATGGATTCATGTACGTGGTTGGGACGTGAGGATGATCAGAATTTCAGAAGTGATTCGTTACAACAAATACACAAACAGTTTAAATATTTCTGTTTATCATTTCATGTCTGAAGACGTTCATATGTAATTAAGTAAAGGAAGAAAGGAGAAGTTTGTTGAACATATATTCAAATAAAACAATAAAAAAAGGAAGAACTGGATAAACATGTCTTTAGTAGCTCGATAATATTTTATTGCCCTTTAATTTACAATGAAAATATTTCGTTCGTTAACAGAGAAATATAACATAAAATATTTGATATTTTAAAATTTCTAAAATTCAAATTTAAACTAAACATAAAGTATCTGACGTTAACTCTATTAACAACAATTACTGGAGACACCATTTAT